TGGAAGCTTAGAAAGATTAACGTGGCACTGATGTTCAACCACAAGCGCTCACACCCCAGAACACTTGTAGCTTACCATATCATGAGCATCATGATGCTTTTATACTGAGTATACTGTCATTACTATCAAGATATTATGGACTGTATTTGGGCTATATTGTCATTATTATCATGATATTATCGTGTCTATTTGGGTCATAATGTCAAAATAATTGTTTCTATTTGGGCCATACTGTCATTATCATCATGATATTTTTGGTGCCCACGAAGGAAACCCTTTGATACCGTTGTATGATCATTGTGTCTCTGTTTCTTGGGTTTTTCCCCCGCCGGGTACCTACTACTACTACCTGCTACTACTACTGCTACTGGTACTGCTACTGCTACTGGTACTGCTACTGCACTTCTAACTGCTGCTCCTCCTCCTCCTCCTCCTACTGCTGCTGCTGCTGCTACTACTACTACTACTACTACTACTAGTATTAGTAGCCGTGCCCCCCCCTACCAACTATGTTCCCTTAAACGCCAGGGGTGGGCAGTCAAGAGCCTGAGAGGAAAAGGAGAATGGTGGAACGTGCCTCACCCACACAAAATCATCAAACATGCTGTAAATGCCGTTCGTTTTTGCATGCGCGCTCATCGAATTCACGAAACCCCCCTCCCTCCACCCCCCCACCCACCCCCCTCCCACTCCCCACCCACCCCCACTCCTTCAGCACGCGCAATCTGGGAAGCATAGTTGGTAGAGAGGGGGGTGCCTGCTGCTGCTGCTACAGCTGCTGCTGCTGCTGCTACTACTACTACTACTGCTGCTGCTGCTGCTACTACTACTACTACTACTAGTACTACTACTACCACCACTACTACTACTACGACGACGACGACGACGTCGACGACGAAGACGACCATGCTGCCGGCAGCGGCTTCATACATGGCTTCGACAATGGCTTCAAAAACGGCTTCGACGACGGCTTCAGCGACGGCTTTGACGACGGCTTCGACGACAACGATGACTTCGACGAGGACGACGACGGCGACGGCGACGGCGGCGGCGTGGGCGTCGGAACGCGCAGGTTTGCCCGGAAAATATGGTTCCTAGCCATAAACGTGCCGGAAGCACTGGCAGGAATCAAGAGCGGTACTTTTGCTCTGTGCCGTGGTGGAAACCAAATTGCCTGAAAACTTGACTTAGAGATATGGGTCCATATGATTTTTCGCATGGAGCTAGTGGAGACCTAAACCCAAACCCTGAGACCGTAAACCCTACAAAACCCTAAACCCCAAAAACTCTGCAAACCATGAAAACCAGCAGAAATGTCCGCACATGCAAAACTGGGCGAACCACTCGTTTCTGGCGTACTACGAATTATTGCTGCTGCTGCTCCTGCTGCTCCAACGGCAGTAATAATGGCATGATGATAACAATAATAGCAACAACAGTTACGTTAAATTGCAATACTATCCCCATCCCCCAGGTAGGATATAAACCATGCAAAAATCCATTCAACGCAGAAGTCCCTACCTGCCATGACACGTTGCATTCTTGGCAACCGACGAATGATGAAATCGCTGTCCATCCTTGCCACAAGCTGCGCTGCCAGCTCTCATCGACAGAATGGTTTAGGCAGTATCACAACTTTCTGAAATGCATGGAGCTTGAGTTTGCGGTATGTGGTATGAGAACTTAGTCGACAGTCCTGGGATTGGGGTATGTTTGAGTCAGAACCCTGCCAGCTGGGCAAGGCAAGCCTGTGTTTGCGCACAAGAGATTTGCGATCAGACGCTGCATTGGGTTTAAGTGTCGGGTTGGCTTCTTCTCAAAGACTGCTTCAGTTGTCAAAACTGGGGGTTCCAGATCATCTTTTGTCCATGAGATGAGATGTGAAATCACGGGTGGAAGGCTAGGGATCACGACTGACCCTGACCAGAGGACAAGTTGGCATGGGGCCTTGTCTGCACTTCTGGTGCAAGACTCTGAACGCCAATGACCTGACTGAGGAGCCTCTCCGCCAGTTGAGATCTGCAAACGCATCCTTTGACTAAGAAGGAATTAATTAGGCTGAAAGGGGCGCAGTCCTGCGCCTGCGCCTGGGACCACGGACAGTGGCATGAGAGCTGAACCAAAAGACCCCACGTGTTCTAGATGTCGATCTGAAGACACACCTGACGCAACGCCTCCATCTTTCGGCGTAGCACCGTGCTTCAAAAAAGTTCTGCAGGCGGCAAGGACACAATCAGCCCACCCTACCACACCCTGGTCAAATGCACCGACCGACCACCATCTGGAGACACGAGAGCGGCACGCATGCGTGCTCTGGAATAATCCCAAGGCCCCGGCATGGAGAGGATATCTCGCTCGGCGCAAACTTGCTTTTCTGCGTTGGCCTATGCCCGGCAGGTAGTCTGCTGCTGACAGCAGGAAGTACATGATGGTACATGTGTACACATAGGACTCCAAAGCAAGCGTAAGATGATTAGGTAACCTCAGCCCACTGCTGGTGAAAATTAATGCTTTGATTGGACGCTCAGACCCAACGACGAGAACTGAGGCCGGTCTGCCTCCTTCAGCACTAAGCATCGTGAGCCATCAACTACAACAGCATTGGAATCACGATATGTGACAAACACATGGCCAATGGCACACACAATTAACATGCTGCAACTCAAGCCATTGACAGGTGAATGGTTGGTTCCTAGGAGCTCCCGAGCCTGCACGATGTATCCTTTGGACAGCCGCTTCAGCGCATACTCTCTGTCTGCGGCAATGAGGAGATCAAAGCTGTCAGAGAGGAGTTGCGCATAAAGAGCCTGAAATAAGGCCAGTATCTGGCAACCTTCAGGTTTGGCAGGTACAGCCCTTCTACCCTTTTACATGTGTTTTCTGCAGAGCATGAAAAACACGATAAACTGCATTGAAGGTATGCCGCTCTTTCATGCTACAGTTGATCTTGCGCCACGTTTCCAAGCTGAAGGAGTCTCTGACAAGACATAGGGTTTGGCGGGAGCAGCCCGCCGGGAGCGCATTTGAAAACACTTCTGCCCATGTTCGCCTGCCGCCCTGGATAAACAGTAACCAAACATAGCAAGTTGAAATTCCAGGGAGGCTTCGACTGTTGGATGCTTACAGCATTTGAAAGGTCCTAGTTGTTTGCTGCCTTTGTCATTCCGCCGCTGGCAAAGGAATACAGCACCAAACCCGCCCTCGCCGAGGACGCCAATGCGCCTGGGCGGTTGCTACGCATCAGAAGAACAGCTGCATCCCCCTAATTTCTTGCAGCAATGCAATCAAACGAGTTGGCTCACATGCTACGTTAATGCTGTGACGCGTTGAGAAGGCGCTCCTCTGAGGGCATCAAGGCCCGGGCTGAAGCTCGTCGAAGGGAATCTCTTCCCGAAATGACTTTGTGTTGGCATACAAACTGGCCGGGCAGCACATAGTCATAGTGCTTGGGGACAGCGGCACCCACAAAAACTATAACAAGATCGTCTCTTGTAGTATCGTTCAGTCTTCAGCCAATATACACATTACCCAATGCAACTCTGCATGGTCTGCATTGGAAGCGCAGGCTGAGAAGGTTCCAGCCTGTGATACTCTTGAAGTGACTTTTGAGTGCCAGGCCTCAGTCTGGATCTTCGGGATTCGCTATCTACACTCATCGCTGCAGATTTCTCAGGATCTGATTGAGGACTGGCGTTGCTCGCATGGAGTAGTACTGAGTTACTGGATCTGGAGGGAATCGATTTTGAACAGATTTCATTGCTCGAGAGGTAGTATTCTATTGTCGGGACTCACCATCTCTGTAGATCACGCATGTAAGCTGCATGCACGTTCTGGACTAGCAAGGTCACAGATGTGACCTTGGCTAGGACCCAATCTCGGCCTGCAGCTGCGATGACATCGTGACGCAATGTTGATTTGAATCAATGGGCCCACAAATTGAAAACTTTCCGTGCAGCACTGGATAGGCCCAGCTGAATCTAGATCTATGCGTGTGCTTACCTCAGGAGATTGACTTGGGCGCAGCAAACCCGATGTTGTCAAACAAGGCTTCTGGCCTGGGTCGTTTGCAGGTTGAACACCAGGATCCACTTATTAGTTTTGTCAGAACCCGGTAGGGGACTCCTAGCTGGCGCTTCTGCTGTGTCCCTGGGGCACGGTCACTCCGAAATCGGTATCCTGTCCTTCCACCTCGGGGCGGATGCATTGGGACTTGTGGGTCAACTGCAAGCCTGTCAAGAAAGCTCACGCTTGGCGGTCCCGATTGTATGCATGATAGCCTGAAGCACTAAACAGGCTCGCATTCAAAAAACACTTGTTTGCAGTCTTGGTGCCAGCCTATTTGCCAGCCTACTTCATACCACAAAGCCTGCAACTCAGACGCCATCCACATCCTGAACACAGCACCAGGGCAAACACATTCAGCGGAAGGGTGCGTAGCAGCTCTCCGTCAATGACGAGGCACTGCCTCAGCTGCCATTTTGGAATCTATTTGAAATATTAGACTGAATGTTTAAGGCAATTACGGCACCATTGCTTTGTGTATGGCAGTGTTATTCTTGCAGCATTTAAGTTGCAGCCATAAGAGCAAATCGGACTTGGCCTTGCTTAGGCAGGGTGTGCCGTGTGTGCCCCTTTTTACTCCGTAGCATGCGCTCGAGAGAGTCGAGAGACTCGAGAGAGTCGATTGATCCAAGCAGGGTGCTGAATCCAAAAGCTTTGTCACAGCCTGCCGATCCTCCTGCCCCTAATTAGTCGAAAAAGACCTTGTGGAGCATCATCACATCCAGTGCAAGTGAGGGGGTCCAAGTTTGAGAAGAGCTTGAAGACTTCCACCTGCGTCAACTGGCCATGTCGCACCGAAAAGCTTTGGAGCCGCGCTCCAGTAGGTGAAACAGTCGTAGCGGGCGAGCATTTCGGGCACAGAGAGAGTTTGGAAGGCGTCCTACCCTTTTGTGAGCGTGTACCGAAGGTAACACAAAGTGTCCTGGCTGTCTAGTTTCTTGCTGCAAGACTCCGCTCACCTGCGACTAAAATCAAGATGAGCTGATGTGGACAGCCATCACGTCGTCAGAATTTAGACGCTCGTGTAGGGGCTGCAGTGGAGCCGTGTCAGCAAGCTGCAAAATCTCCATGCCGTACTGTCCGCAGAAAAATGTTCATGCCAGCACGGCAAAGTTGAGCAAAGCAGCCAGGGGTGCCGCAGCAAAGACATCATTTAGCATAGGCCGAGCCAGATTGAACAAGGAGCTGCCAGCATATTGCCACTTACACCTGGTGCGGTACAGAACTCTCTTAAAACGTGCCATCCCAACAAGAAGGCAACGGCACATGAGAAGCATCCACATGCATCACTGCGTGCTGGAAACGCTTGGTCTGGGTTACACATTCAACCCAGAGAAGGCCAGAAATCTATCCCTAGCAGGTCATAACTGCAGACATAGTACATGGACACATTTCTTGGGTCCCTAGCATAACACAGCCCCTAATCATCTTAAGATGCACGGTATCAGTAGTCTCCAACCCTGACTCTGAGAGTCCTTCAGGCTACAAAGTTCAGGCTCAAGCTCGTTGCACATCGTGCACGTCGTTCAGGGCTGGGCTACAGGCTAAAGACCTACAAAAAATTCGACAACTCCCTGATTATCTACATCTATGTAGCATTTGTTAATCCTGCTGCTTCCTTCCCTATCTGCTTTGCCGGCGCCACTCAAAGGCCCACTTTGTTGTTTCCATCGCCGACATCATTGTCGCCATACCTGCAGCGTGCAAGAATCCTACCTTCAGCCTGGGTGCCCTGGCACAAGACAATCAATTCCTGACCGCATGACCAACCGGTCAGCACTTCATGGCATGGTTCTGGCTGACGCGAGATGTCTGCAATCTACAAGAAATCCTGGACGATCCTGAAACCATATGCGCACTTCCACAACTAAAGATGTCGACCAACCATATGGCGGGTCCAAACCCCATGTCCCCACGAGGTGATTCGGCACTTGACCAAATTGGCCACGCGTTCATGTGTTCGACTCTTTGACAGGTGCACATGCTCTTTGTTGCAAAGACCCTGAACCAGGATCAAGATGGATCAGGCCCTGGTGTGTTTCAGTGTGTTTTTCCTCAAAGTACCTTGTTGGCATCTTAGGCTGGCAAGCAGGATGTTGAAGCGTGTCGAGCTAAACTAACTCAAAGTGCCCAGAGGGATTCGCAGCAGTCGCGGGCCAATGCCGCTGAAGCTGGTCGTAGGATGGGTGATGAGGAAACGGACGATGTCCTTTCCAGGATTTTAGGCAAAGCTCGTGTCACATTTAGAGTTGATCTGATGGTTATGGACAAGTAAGTGCCAGGCCCGGTAGGACCCAGATGCGGGCATGCTGGTCCTTGAGGCCATGGCAGAAGCGGCCGAAGCAACGACTTCATAAAGAGGTAATGCTCACGCTTCTCTCATGCTTCTCTTGGAATGACACCTGTGCAGTCCTGTGAAAACAGCATTAACCCATGCGCGTTCACGTTACTTTGCTCCGAAGTTACGCTTGCCGGCAAGGGTCGTCAAGCTGTGCTCGGCCCCAGTCAGGGTCTTTTGCCGCAGCGTCCTTGCTCAAGTCCGTGGTCCCTCTAAACAGAGCCTACAACCCCTAGAACACCAGCTTGCTTCAGGATACACAACAAGAGCTACGGAGTGCTACTGGCAGTGTTGCCATTTGCAGGGCTAGGTTTGGCCTACAAGGCTTATACCGGAACAGACATGAATTTTGAATTGCGGGCTGAAAGCAATACAACCATGGAAGCGCAAACTGAATTCTGGGAGACTTTAACGCACTGCTACATCAGCATCAGGAACCCGATGATAGAGTGCAACTGGTCACCAAAAATGCACCACCAGAAAGGCCTTGCGGGATGGCAGATGCCAGAGAGGGATGAGAAGTGGAGAAGGATGAAAAACAAACTTTGTTAACCAAGTGCATTGCATGACAGCTGCTCGGTCATACATGCATGGTCTACGAAACTGTTACATGCTTCAAGCGAGGAGCTTGACGACGTCAATGGGACAGGTCACCAATGCAGCCAGCATGCCTGCGCTTTTGAAGGAAACCCCAAGCGGTTCCCTGGAATGCAAAGCTTGGGCAACAAACTTGGATGTTTCAGTCAAACCCTGCCGAGTCCGTAGCAATGCAATACTATCAGGTGCTAGCACCTTAGATCTGCCCCTGCATGAATAGTCAATAGTCCCCACCCCCCCAACACCTTCCCCCCTGTCTGCTTTCTTGGATATGCTGCCTGGACATAGGACCACATGGCAGTAGGCTCCACACTCCTTCAACCCTTTCTCACTCAAAACCCTGGACCATGAAGCACAATCAGATGGTGCGGCATGGAGATACCTGATACCTGTGTCCGCAGCCAGGATTCCCCTATCAACCCCACTGCCGCAGGTTCCCCCCAAATCGAATTAAGTAAGGGGAATTTTTAGGGGAACCTCGGAGGGTAAAGCAAAAAGGGTGGAGTTAGGACAGTTAGGAGAGCCCAAAATTCCTGTGGGCTTAGGGTTGCAGACATGATTGCGCAACCTCTGCACAAGGTGAGGAACGCGCACGAAGTTCCTCTACATCGTTAAGTAGTTGAGCACCGGAGACTCTCTGCGGCGCGTGGGCTGAGAAAACATGCAGACATACCTTGCACCTTGCAAAATCTGGTGCAAAATTCAGTGTAAACATAATAGCCCCAAACCCTACACCCCCAAACCCTAAAAAATGGAAATGCAAACAGGCTGCGCTCCGCACATAGAAAGCGCGTCAACGCTTCAAGCGTCAAGCTGAAGTCCGACTCATCCATACAGGATCTGTCTTCTAGAAGCAAGATCCTGATCAGCCCCAAGTGTCCTGCAACGCCACCGCAGACGAAGGAGTGGGTCAGGGTCCGCAAGCCCTCGCTTGGAATCCTGCACGTGCAGGGGAGCAGGGAATTAGCAAGGCGATGAGGTCAGGTCCAGTAGCAGCATGTTGGTTACGTCCGCAGCCAAAATATGCCAAGATAGCCCAAAGCTTGCCAGGGGCAGTCTATCAAAGCTACATTACCTGCATTCAAGATTCAACGGCTGGCAAATGATTTGCTGAAGCGTGGCGAGCCCACCCTCACACTGAAAGCCGTCAGTGCTGCTTCTACACGCAACTGCGTAAGGCGGCTTCAGAAAAGTCCTGGAAGGCGCAGGAACCTCTTTCTTGATGTACTCGTAGGCTAACCTTCTAGTGATGGCAGGGGCCCAGGTGCCGAGCAGGGTTGACAGTTGCCTTCTAGCTGTCGATCAGTATCATGCGCTTGCAGTTTCGTGCCTGTTTATGTGGAAGCATGAGGAATCGGAGTCACTAATCAGGATGCCGTGGACACGTGCTGGAAAGAGCATGCGCTTGTGCTCTAAGATGCTTAGGGACGTCGTGCAGAGGACTGGGATGATCATGATCATGATGGTGATGGATGCCTTCACGGACAGCCCCAAAAACAATCTCGACATTCCTTATAGACGCAGCTGCCCTCCATGCTAAGGCAACGGGGAGAAGCGACACCACAGTGAGGATAAAACTCGGCCAAGGGTCCAATAGAGCGCACTAAAGGGCACATCTCTAAGCAGCGTGGGCGAATATCCCTGCATCCATGAACCTCAGCCACTTGCTGCAAGGTGATGGTGGCAGTCCTACAACAACGACAGCAGGTCAGTTGCAAAAACTTTGATCGCCTCAACTTCCATCGCATGAAGCACACAACTCCAAGGCCCGCCACACACGCACGAGCCAGAGCCATCTTGGCCTTGGAATGCCTTGGACCTCTTGAAAATTCCGAAGGGAACCGCTCTGAACCTCAGGACATTCCACCGCCTTGGACCTCTGCAGCTCTGTGGCTTAAAGGCTGGTGCCGGTGCTGCTGCAGAAGGCTGCGAAGGCTGAGCTGACCTGTCACCGTGACTGCGTCTTGTGACTCCGGCATCCCTGCCATAGGTCCCAACCAAGGTTTGCTAGCGGCACGAAGCCGTTCATGTGGCACATTCCTGTCTCTCTCGAGATCTGGGACGGTCTCACTACCGCATTTTTTCTGCGGCATGTGAAGTCACATCAGCTCCACATTTGAAGCAGTACTTTGACGCCTAGCCAGACCTTCCCAGACTTCTTGAGGCTAAGCGAGCAGCAAACCCAGCAAGCAGGGCCTTCAGCTGCCTGCAGCTGCGTTCGTAACAATTCCAGCGGCATCCGCAGCGTCACCTCTCAAAGCTCAGCTTTCGAACATGGGGAAGGCTTTGAAGACATCGTGGTCACCCTTTCTGTAGGAGGGCAAAGTACTTAAGCTCGAACTTGCGACTGTCTCTACAAAGCAGGACAAGACCCGCTAAAGATCACATCGCGCCTCCAACGTGCGGGCTACAACGGCAGCGCTCAGTGGTGCCAATGGATGATCCTGGAAAGTGAGACCGCGAGCATCTACTGTGCCGATATACGCGGGCGCTTGGAAATTGCACAGTTTCAAGTCAGCTTCTCTGAATTTGCAGCGTTGTCTTGGGCGCAACTTGATTTGCGAGGCTGAACCTTGCAAGCTCCGAGCCGGATGTTGAGCTTTTGGATTGGCGGAACAGGCCAGCTACGGTCATTGACCCTCGTGGACATGCCATCCTGCTGAAGTCGGAGGAGCTCGTCATAGAGACCTGGAGCGCTTGCAAGTAGAGTCGAGCAAGGCTTGGCTGCCGGATGTACGAAGATGCCCGTAGGTCTGCGTCAAAGCTTAGCAGACAAGACAAGGTTTACATGCTGCTTGATCCGGCGTCAGCGCCAGCATGCGCGAGGCCTGCTGCATGTGGTCAGCACGCCTGCTGTTAGTGAGGTTTTGAATCTGGAAGTCTCGGCTTCGGGCAGCATACCCAGAACGCTTCAGCCACTTGGTGGTAAGAGGTGCTGTTTCGCTGCTAGAACTCTCTCACATGTGCACGTGCAGAGAGCAACGAACATGTCTGAGATGCTAGGCTTGCGCTAAACCCAAGGCGGAAACATCATCTGGCACTGAGGTGAGAATGTATGTGTGAAATAGCATAAGAAGCCAGGTTGCAGTAGTAGACAACCGTATACCTTGGCTGGCAAGACATATCCTCCAAGAGAGCACTTGCTGTCACAAGATGTGGCCCCAGTGCTCAGGATGCGCGGAGGCTGGTGCAGGAAATGCGTTGCTGATTGAGATCAAAATATTCAACGGCAAGAGTCGGACGGGCCATGGCAGCACTTTACGCAAAGTAGCGAGAGTTCACGCAAATCTTAACGGGGTCGGGTCAGTCCTCGGGCGTGTAGCTAAGATGACACTCGGGCGTGCAGCTAAGATGACACTGAGGGCCCACCGTGCCCTCGAAGAGCCCTTGGGACCTCATACGAACCTGTGCACGCTCAAGCTTTTCCCTGCATAAATCTGGCTCGGATTGAGATGGGGTGATGGTTGATGCATGATTTAGACAATTGGAGCTGAGACCGGTCGAAGCCGCACTTCTTCAGGGCAAACACGCTGCGGACTGCTTGAAAGCCGAACTGGTGCAGACCTTGTCACATACCACCAAGCTAGAACCAACTGAACACATCGGGTGTTAGCAGAGTCGTTCGCCATGAGTCGGAATGAGGAGGATGAGAGTCGGGAACAAGGAGGGCTAGAGTCGGGAAACAAGGAGGCCAGAGTCGGGAAAAAAGGAGGCTAGAGTCTTCAAAAAAGGGGTGGAGTCGGGAAGGACCAGAGGCGAGAGTCGGGAAATTATGGAACCAAACGTCATACCAGTTTACATGATGTTTCCTACCCCAAGATCGTGTTGGTAAAGTGTTCATGTGCGGGCACTCCCCAAGCTAAGGTCACGGTCGCGAGGACCTAGGATCCGACATCGAGCTCTACTATCTCAACCAAATCCGACAGGGAAACGCGCCTAACAAGAATCCGCTAAACCCTGCAATCCAAACCCCTAAGCCCGCTCGAAAACAAAAACTGTGCGGAATCGAGAAAGCGCCAAGATACCCTCGGGTTATGACTTCCAAGCTATTCTGTCGGGACTCACTTCTTCAGGGCTTGTGACACTCTGGAAGCTCAGCATCCCAACCCTAGGAGCCTCAATGCCCATGATGTATCCGGACCTGTTGAATCCAAATACTTAGACCTGAAGCGAACTTACCCCCCCCCCCCAAAAGCGATGATAGTAATCGTAGTTTCCGCATCGGTGATTTTACTTTCCGAATCGGAACAGCAATGTGAACTTCTGTAAGGCCTTAGCTCTTCGAGGACTACCACTGCTTGAGAGCTTTTGGTCTGAGTGTTTTAGGGTTAAGGGCATCAGGGTTGACGTAGGGTCTTGGGTTCAGCATGCATGGTTGGTCAATTGTAGGCATGTAGTTTCTGTGCAAAAAATCATGTAAATTTACATCCTGTTTTGCATGCTTGACTAAGAGCTTCCATGATTCCCGACTCCCGCCTTTATGGTTCCAGACTCCTGCCCCGCACATTTCCTGACTCCTGCCCTGCATATTTCCCGACTCTCGCCCTCGTATTTCCTGACTCCCAGGCCCTGACTCCCTTTCACAATGACTGACTTCGACAGCGCCCTGAACAACATCGGAGAAAGTATGAACGGCAACGCGTCATTGCTCCCCAGCCACGAAAGAATGCTTGCAGGAAGCAAATCTGGCAAGCTATTCTTTCGCAGGTGCATAGGCTGGCAGAGCAGTCTCGAAGGAAACAAAAGGCAGCTCAACTGCAAAAACTTGAATTTGAAGGGTATTGAAGGGTGCAATTGCTTTCTGCCAGAGCACAGGGAACAGCGGGCAATGGTCACGGTATTCAGAGAAGCAAAGAGCAACACGTGTTGGATCACTGCATGGGTGGCACTGCCTACGAACACAAACACCAATCGGGCAACATACGATACGACACCAACGGGGCAGCTGCAACAGGTGCTGCGCAAGATCAGTCTACTTCATTAGAATGCAGCAGGCTGTGGCGACATGTGGCATCCATCTGCAGCTCAGGTTGCGGGGCAATCAGCAGCTGCGTGTCCATGCCACCTTGGACCAAGCACAGGAGATTGATGGACAAGGTCCGCCTTTCAAGGATTTGCGGAGTCATCCAACATCCTAAATGCAGGACGACTAGCCACCAGCTGCGAGTCGTGTCCCTGTTAATTAGGCCCAAAACTTGAAGGCGACTGCAGGGAAGGGACGATAGAGGCCTCGGAGGCCATCTGTACGCAGCATGTCGCGAGCAAGCCTTGGAGAGGGAAACTGGCTTCATGATGGGGAGGGATCAAGGTCTACACACCCTCTTCGTCGCAGAGCCCCAAGCAAAGGATTCGACTTTTTTCGGCAGCTCAAAATGCAACACAATTGCCAGCAATTCCTCTGCAGATCACCTTTTCCTAGGCAAATCTCGAATCCCATCTCTTTAGTCTAGGCCCCTGAAGCCTGTTAAGGCCCAGCCGCTGGCGTGCGCAAGGGTGGGCTCCGGGTGAGGCCTTCAGCGACATCAACTAGGGGAACCTACAATAAAAAGAGGCCACTTCCAAGAGGGTGGACCCATCAAGGGCAGCACAGCACAGTGGTCACTGCTAACCGGTTTTGGCTTTGTCGGTGTGGCTGCTACCCGAGAAAGGATGCACCTAACACACGCCCTTACGGGATAGCTGTTGCAGAAACCTGATCCTCAATATGGACCAACATAAGTCGTCCAATCGTAATGGCTCCACATGTAAAGGTTAGCACCTGGCCTGCATCAGGGTCTTGATGCGGTCGAATGGAACAACCTTGCAGCCATCTCAAATGCTTTCATATTACGACAACGAAACGAACTCGAGAAAGTTGCATGGACAGGTTAGCACCGACGTGGCATCGCCGAGGAATTGTCTTGTTGCACGCTGGGCAACTACGATGGAACCCGCCACATACCTCAGCCCAGACACCCAGGAAAACAAAGACTGCTCAAGAACATTTCTCTTTCTTGTTAAGGCCGGCCTAGTCTGAGATGCGCTTTGGCCCTATGCAAGCCCAGCAGGCACAAGAGATTGTGATTCAACCGTGGCGCCTTTGCAAGATTCTGGGACACGTCCTGTGCATCCCCTCAACTTCACGTGAATGACTGTCCAGGTACCCTGTGAGAGCTGAGACGGCCCGCTCGTAGCCCGAGATGTCCCGTCGGGCAGCTCCGCTCATGGGCTTCGCTTTCATGCGTCTTAAAGCCTAATAGTCTCTGCGTTTCGGGTGAACCAAGATCAGAGAACTCGCGAGACTTTGATGGGGTGAGGCTCGGAATGCAAAGACTGGCGAGTGAGGGGGTTCACACCTGGCCGGGGGTCTTCTTGCACTCCATGTCGGCTATGCTGCACCAAGCCAAAGGCTGCAGCAGGAATGCAACTGAAAAAGACACTAATCATCTTCAACATCTGCCAAAATCTTGTATGAAGCACCTCAGACTGCTTGCTTTGGTTGTATACGTGCCCGGAAACAGAGCGGAAACAGAGCAAAACCCAATGGCAAGCCTGAACTAAAGGCAACAAACCGCACACCATTGTTGTCAACGCTGAGGGAAGGGCATGCCCTTCGCACCAGCCTTCAACAGTCAGTATGCAGCAGCACGTACACACAACTCGAAGCCTACCCCTGATCTGAGGCTACAACACAGCTTTTGATCCAGGATCCACAGCCATGTTGCAGTAATTGTTTTATACGGCAATGCACAACACGGATATGAAACGGTGCCTCAGAACAGAGGCATGAGCTGTGCGGGCTTCATTCATGATGTTTACGGGTTGGCGAAGAATGACAAACTGAGATGATTGTCCTCGGCTTCCTTGTGCTGAAAAAGTTTGATGCGAACTTGGAACCGGCATGTCTCCGTTTCCGAGCAGCAAGACCTGCTGCCTACCTAAGAGGATCAAATATGGAACATGATCAAATGCTGCGTCAAACCCTTGCTAGGCAATTTCTGTGAAAGCACGCCTGCACCGAGAATTCTGCTGTACGCCTCAGCCACAAGTATTCAATTTTCAGGCAAGTTACGCATCTCACATTTCAAGCTGCTCCAAGAATACAACGGCTGAATGAAGTGCTATGGTAAGAAATCAGGTTTCAAGCCTGTATGTTAAGCATCGCCACCACCCACAAGCTAAACTTTAAGCGTTGGGTCAAGCCCTGCAAAACTTTGCGGACTGTGCAAGCTGAAGCCTCAGGACTGTGTTGAATCAGCCCGTTGCCCTCCACCTTCTGAGAATCCTGCTGCTGAAGGAAGATGGCACGCTCTCCGAAGTGGTTGCCTGCTCAGTGAGGCAAAGGCCCAACATAGCCCAACAGCACTGTCCAGCTTCAAAGCTGCCGATGCCTCGACGCAGCTCCGCCGACACCTTGACCTGACCTGAAGCAGGTTGCACCAGGGCATGTTAATCATCATGATGGCCGTGCCTTGCCCTAAATATGACATGAAGGCTGCTCCGCCATCCCCCACACTCCTGATTCTGTAGAAAACGCCTTTGAAAAACGTGAGGCAGGTGCCGGTTGAGTCTTTCTGTGTGACCACGCAGCCTCAGGAAGCAGGGAAAAAGGTTCTGGCAAAAGAGCTTTGTCTTGGGTAGGTCACAGAAAGCAGGGCAAGCCGCCTCCTCGCTCCACGACAAACCACAACTTCTCGGTGATCTCCCCTTGGGTCATCACCTCAAAGGGCTGAGGCCCAGGCCCCCAGGCCCAAGGGACTTAAGGTATGGCAGCCAGCTCTCCAAAACCGCAGCGAGTTGGGATTGGCTCCCCGTACTCTGAGACTGCGACCATCTCGTTGGGATTGAAGCCTTGCATGTAGAAAGTAAGATGCAGAGTGCCATCGAGGTTGCAATTCCTGGCCCCTAGGTTCGGGTACTTGGGGAGACACGTCTTCGGCAAGGATATTCATGGACGAAGGTATCAAGAGCCGCTGGGAGACTTTTAGGTTTGTCGTGCCCGTAGCGATGGCGGCAATTCTCTGTTTGTGATTTGGCTTTGACTGGTGGATCGAAAGCCCCACAGAGAATCATCTATGAATGGCAACCAAGGATAGGCCTTTTTCCCCAATCCTGCATCTCAAGCAGGACAAAGGGCCCCCTCCAACCCGAATCCATGCTGATTCCTGCATGTGGGCCTAGGACACCGAACAAGCAAACCCAGTAGGAGGGCTGCACTGGGCAAGCGTCGTCTGAGGAGGCTGCTAAAGGTCCCAACAGCATTTCGCGCAACCTGGCACACAGCAGCTTGCTATACTGCGCCAGGGCGCCAAGTTCTTGATGACCAGACCTCTCTGGGTTCAGGCTGGGGCTTCTCCTCTTGCCCCTCAGTACAGGGCTACAACACTAGAGCAAGATATTGGAACATTGAATGCTTTGTTCCATGAGGAAGTTTCGGAGGCACACAAGCCTTCGTCAAACAACTCATGAGGATGATAGCCGATTTGCCGAGGGATGCCTCGTTTGTGTCGGTGCTGTTGGTGCAACCTAGCCCGATACACCTCTGGAGTACATGGTTTTCATGGGCCTGATCAACAGTGAAGCATGCCACATGCGGTGGAAAAATGCAGAAATACTGCAGAAGTGCACCAACACCTGTCTACACATGTACTGCAACAGAAATTACGTCACGAAAGCCCAAAAGCACGTCACCATGGTCCCCAAATTTCCACATTAGCATCGTGTCCTACCCATGCTTTCAGAAACCCTGAAAAACATCCCTTCTTAAAGAGCTGTTTCCAGGGTTGGAGACTTGGATCCTGAATCTCACGCTCTGGACCTCTGCGCGCTCAGAGCGGACCAAAGGGTTCAAGAAGTTGACCTGCGGTCTGCTCTGTCTGTACATGTCTGTATGAAGTGTCCTGGTATGCATCAAGATGTCGTGAACTTGAAGGCCCTTCAGGGTGGAAGTCTTGCAGCAGTACGAACTCGCAAAAGCGATGCCACGAAGCATTGTGCAAAACCACAGACGAATATGCATCGACTTGGGCATGAACTTGATTGCGCAAGTTTTGCAACAACAAAACGTCCACACCTCGTCAAGCAGCTTGATCCACGCTTGCTCCTGTCAGCAGGCTATGAGTCAACGTTGCAGGCTTGAAGAGTTTGCCTTGTCGTAGGGTTTTCCAGTTCTGTGTCAGTAGGATGCGGCCTAGAGAGAGTTGAGCCAGCATGAGATGCTACGTTTCGTCTCTGATCTTGCGTTTCGACTGGAAACGCACTTGTCAAGAATGTTGCCATGAAAGAATGGCAGAGAGTCGCTGCAAGAGCTCCAGCCAATGTACACCAACAGAGTAACCTTTAGAGTCTGATGTGGCGGCTGAGTCGGCTGATGCCCGGCCTGGGGTCGGCCGTCTCTCCTGCCAAAGCACCTGCGACGCGTTTCGAGCACTTTTTGAGGGCTCTCTGTCAGGCTGGTCAGCAGGGTACTATTAGCTACTCGCATTATCCTCAGAGTTTGAGCTACACTGACACGAGGCGCACATGACTACCACGAGGGCAATACCCACGGCACCTTCAAGAAGTGAAAAGTACTTCCCTGCAAATGACCGTTATGACATAAACCAACACGTATTTACCACATCTCAGAGCTTTCTCCTTGGCTGCTCTGAAAAATCTGAACCTCCACCAACAACCTCTCCAAAGTTTGACATAGCCTGATAAGGGCGCTGACCATCAGCATGCAACGTTCCACAGACTGCTGAACCGTTGCAGGAAGGCTCGGCTCAACAAACACAGCACAACACTGTCCTTGCAGATTGCAAGCAAACTTCTGGCTTACGAGTCCCCGTCTTCGCTTCTCCACGACGCGCACATGGCTCATGAAATTTCTGGGCTCCTTGCCGCTTGAAAGCCTTGTAAGGAACACCGTAGACCTTGTCATGCATCTGGAATTAGAAGCCGAGTGCCGATTCAGACATGGCAAAGGTTCTGGTTTTGGAGCTTCGGCGCTTTTTCAAACGTGCGGTGTCCAGCGAAGAAGATCTTTAATGCTGCATCCTGAAACCCGCCAAAGCACAGATCCAAAGTGCTGATGGCTCAAAGCCTGTGGTTCGCCTGAAGCTCCCCAGCCAGACTCGCAAACATCTCTGCCGAGGCTGCGGCCACAGAAGGCTCAACAGCTTTGCATGTGGCCAGGTGACGCCTCATAGTCCGGGCAGCTCTACCGTAGCTTCTTCGTATACTTACCCGCTGCTGAGATTGTCAGCAGATGCTCTTCTTCCAAGGAGAGACCTCAACACCTTGCTCAGATGTGCTCGCAGATGGCTTTCGATCAGAGACCCCAATTTCTGTGGCACAGGGTCCAGGCAATGTTAGCTCCAAGCCACAAACTGCCTTCCTTGTAGATGCAAGCGTCCAACGCTATGGATAGCAGGACTGGTGCCAAGGGTGACCAAAGCAGGGTAATCCCAGCCCAAAAGAATCAGCATTTGCCTACATTTGCTTGCAACGGCTCTGGGCGTGTATGTCCGGCAAATTAATAAATTTCCAAGCCTGGCACAACCCGGCTCCACATCTGAGCTGCTCACGTGTTGTACAGTAACGACAGTTCGCCGTAGCACTCCCCCGACCTGTTAGCATCATAGCTCCCAGTAAACTTTACCAAGGGAAGGGTAAGCGCAGGGAAGGGATCATGCGACTGCAGTGGGGTGTTGGAATCGGCAAGGCGGTTGCCTGTCCAAATCTTCCTGCGTGGGGCCCGGGATAGGCTTGTGAGACCAGCAAGTTCTGCATTTTCTGAAAAGCGTCCTAATTTGGGAAGTTAGAGCTACCAGAATCCTCTTGTCTAGTGTGCCTGCTTGCGAAAACAACCCTTTCTCAGACCTTGCACGCACTTTCGCGAATTTTCACGCGCACCACCATTCAACTGACATTTGCAACAAGCGCCCTAGAAGAGATTATTCGGACTGGCCATACACCTTTTCGCGAATCCTTTCGCCGCCCTCACGCGATGCTTTCGCGAGCAACATTTTTGCTTTATATGTCCCCAAGCCTTTCAATGTTTAAGTATTGTTTTTTTGACGACCCTCTGTGGGTTTCGACCCAGCCAGCAAGGCTGCACATACTGAACCTAACACCATACATGACCTGCAGTGCAGTGTACATCAACCTACTTCCAAGATGCACATCCCTAAGACAAGCTCCGTACGTTAGCCGGCACAAAGGAGCCACGTCTTCCACTGGCCGCAGCAGCTGAACCTCCAACACAGGACAGGCCTGCGGTTGTAGTGGTTTAGGCTTTCGCATGGTTTCCGGAAATGGCTCAAGCATGCTCAAGCCAAGCATGAATATCATAAATTGTACATGGTACATCGTGTACAGGAACTGAACAGCAAAACTGGCACTCTGCCAGGAAACGATTCCAGACGAATGCCAAGGTCGTTTTTACATCAAAGAGCTGAGAGGTCGGTTGCAGGCTTGCATCTTTCAGAGACCCAACATCACTTCGGCCTCTGACTCACACGCTGGCCTTCACTTCGCGAATGCCATCTGGAAAATCGACAGCAACTTTTCCCTGTGGCCTGGCATTGGAATTCTTGGAACTTGGAAGAGGTCTAAGGTGAGACAAGACAACCCTAGACATTTCAGTCTAGCCCTAGACACGACTGCCGTCATTACGTGCGAGAACCCCAGTCAGCGAGACCCCAGATGCAGAAAACATGGAGACTCTTGCGATCCTTTCGCTCCAGGGTTTTCATGCTTTAAGTTGCCCATCCCTCAACATGCCCCCCTTCAGCCTACAGTCAGCCATCCACGCTGTTTTGCTTACAAGGATCAAGGCTGTGGCAGCTTGAATTTGCAGGGTCGCCCGTCACAACATCTGCTCTTGCTCAGTTCGACTCTCATATCACATAATGGTTCCTTCTACTTAAAAGTAATCGCTCAGGCTCCAGCCCTTGCTCCAGCACCTGACATGGCGCATCATGGCGCAGAGATTCAATAAAGGTTCGCCACTGCGGTGCTAGCCACGAGATCAGCTGCTCTTAGAGCAACATATCTCGAAACCCAAAGCTTGCTAAAAAGTTGCCGTGCAGCGTCCACACTGCCTAAAATGGATTTGCATCTTCTCGGGCTGGGCGAACCGAGTTTTAGCAGTGGTTGATTTGTACAGGCATTCGTGCTCCTTTGCAGCTTTGTTTGCTGCTGCTAGTGCAGCAAAGAATTCACAAACCATGACCACGACTTGCTGTACGTGCCCCAGATTTGAGACACCTTCCTTCCCAGACGCCCGAAAGCCAGCGAGCAACCAGGCTCTAGCTCAACCCGCGGAGAGGCGATTTGCAAGCTTCTGCCAATGCCACCAGACTAGAAACCGCGTAATGACGCATGCAACTCCCAGGCCTCCAGAACTCGACCCGTTCCCAACTCCTGGCTTGCAGATCTCATCCACATCTGTTTGAGAAAATGGCCGGCTTCTTTTTTTGTTGGGCTGACCGCTTCCGTGAAGAAAGTGAGGAACACGGTAACACCTGGAAGAAAAGCACCTCAGTGTGGAAAGCGTTGCAAAGGCTGTTATGAGGCACAAGCTCCCAGGAAGCTCTGAGATGTTACATCCGGAAGGGTCTTGGCTTACAATATGGTTTTCTCATCGTTCTGGCTTGCAACAGTGTTCCACTTCCTTCAATGTCAAGCAGAGGTAGCTAGTGATACATTCATTTGTCTGCAGCGTCTTGTATGGTAAAATGTTTGGATTACTCAACACGCGCCCCTGTCGTTTTCCAAAGTTTAGCATGTGGCCCGTGAATTGCGTCAGTTTCTGCAGACCCCAAGCATCCTGGCTTTGGGCGCAGCTCACTACAAACCGTGCTGCAAAAGAATATCAACCCGTCAGCAGCGGTCCTTCTGGACGTCCCAACCTGCGACGAGGGCAGCAACCTGTTCCAGTGTTGCTGGAGAATGGGTCACCACATCCCATTGTGAAGAGCAAACTCGAAACTGTTGGCTAGCAAAATTAGATGCCGGCAGAATATCTGCTCTATTGCACCATCCCTCGCCAACCCTGTCAGCAAATCTACGGACACGGACGACGACACGCCAAGCTGGTCCGGGCAGAAGTTGCCAATCCGTTCTCGTGAATCTGTGCAGCGTCTCTTCATCAGAGGCAACGAGAGAAAACCGCACGTGCCTGATCACCAACCTGAAAGGGTGAAGTCTCATCCTCCTCCTTGACGCGGCATTCTCAATTTACGGACTGTAAGGAGGCTGGATTCTAGATAGAGGGGCGCGATCTGCTGTGAGATCTGGGTTGATGCAATTGATCTCGGGATGCTGTCGGGTTTTAGGCCTAGCAAGAAGAGTCTGCAGCCCGACCTGATCTGTCTTGCTCCCTCTGACATACATCTGGAAGTGGCTCGGCAACCGTACTTGCAGCAGGAACCTGCTATCACCTCCCGCAATGCTGAAACATTCTTTGAAGGCCGGAGTTCTTTGAAGGCCGGAGAATGCGCCGTCCTCATCGAGGTCGCTCTTCAATGACCGAGTCCGGGCCATGAAGCCAAATCCCCAACTGTCTATACCCAGGCCAGTCCTCAGAGATAACGAGTTCAGCTTCAAGAAACGTGAAGCTTTATACGTGCAACGACCTGATCCGGCCAAAGCTGACCATCGCAGTTTGCAAGTGCTAGCTCATACATGCCATGTGTGGTAGATTGCTTTTCAGAGCTATGAAATCTGACAGCAGCATTGCTTACAGAAAGGTCCCTAAGGCTCAAGGAGGTTTCTGTTAGCTTCAAGCCAGCCCACAGGAGAGTGTCACAGGACTGACTGGCTTGTATGCCAGCCTCCGCCTTTCCATTTTCCAAGCCAGAGTCCGCAAAGCCTGCAAAGCCTGCAAAGCCTGCAAAGCCTGCAACGCCTGCAACGTCTTCAAGTCTTGGCCTTTTCCTGACTCAGGCTTCTGCTCTGATCCTCTCCGGGCTTTTTTCCTGGGCTGAGCGCCAGTTGGAAGGCCACATGACCACATGCTGCAACAAGAGGAAAGAGTGGAAAGTCTTGTTGTGCTCGTTCTCCGGGCTAGCGTGTAAAGAGGAAATGAAGGGATGTTTTGATCCCGAGTTTATGCTAGCAGCTCTAGCAGTAGGCTTGACTTGGCTTCCCAATGCTAAAGGTCTGACTTACGCGCAATCATCTGATCATTCGGAGCACAACTTTTCCACCCATCGTGGTGGCCATAAGCCGTAAGACTTCAAGACAGAACTCAAGAACTGCCAATTCACAACACTGAAGGGAACTGCATATCGGTGCTCTCCGTCTGAATGAGATTATGTTCTTTGTGGTTCTTTATGTTCTTGCATCTTCTGTGGAGAACTTGAGGGAAGGCGTCATCTGTGTCATTGCTTCTGTTTGTTGTTATGGGTGTCCTTTTCTCCGCTCTCCAAGTCTCTCACTACTTAAAACAAAGACAATGTCCTATGTCAGGTGTTCATTGCAAAGACCTGCAAGAATCGCGCTCCGTTTTTGGAGGAATTAGCATTCTTACAGGGCCAAGTATAAGTCAATGTCTGTTGTAAGGAGTATCCGACTTGACGAAACGCGAGCCAGAAGCAAAACAAGAAACTGAGCCCAGCTCGGCGTGCTGCGTGCCCCCATGGACTGCGAGTCGGGCAATCAGGCAGCGAGCGTGCAGTTTGCAGTGTGCAGAACACAACTCCATCCAGTGCATGCGTAAGACATCGCATCACCTTCACCTGACCAGTCTGGGCCTTGCCTCGCATACATTGCCTCGAAGCTCTACCACAACAAGTCCTCTCTCCCTCCAGAATAAAAATTGCCATGAAATATGTCTGCTACATTGTCCGCATATGAAACCTTCTCACCCAGCTAATCCCAAAACTTGCGTGTCAACCTGCGAGTGAGAGTGTAAAGAGAGCGAGGTAGCGAGAGAGCGAGAGACATGACAGACCTGGATAATCCCAAACCATAGGCAAAAGGGTCAGGCAGCGAACTCTCCATCTGAGTGAGCGGCAACCTTCTTCTGATCAACGAAAGCCGAGTTGGCTGACCACTGCTTTTTGCGGTTCCTGGCGCGGAAGTGCAGCAATGCTGAGCCGCCTTGCACTTTGAAAGCTAGGGCTCACACTCCTGTGGATGTGGGGAGGGGCAGGTATCCTGCTAAAACATGAGACAGTAGTAGGAGCTTTTCGATTTCGTCATGGCTTCCAAGAACTTCTAAACATTCCTATGTTCTGGGTGTCCGCACCCATCATTGCCCCCTCGATTCGTCGCCGGTAACATGGATCGTCGAGCATGAGGCACGCCCTCCGAACGCTTGTCCTAGGCTTGGAGTTGTTGCCAGGAGCTTTACGGCAAAGCATGATGTCAAGTCTTATGAAAAAAGCCTCAGTACCCTTGCAGCAAGAATCATGCAATGGATCCTGGACCTCCATACGCTTCTTAGCACATCAGCAGAAAACTATGTTCAGCCAGGCTCCGTGATCTCCGAAGGCCCGGAGTGCCGAGGACATGTTACTGAAAGGGGTTACAGATGTACAAATGGGCGCCTATGACTGGGTTTTTGGCTTAGGCTGTAGGGCCTGACTTCCATGCCGCACTGCAGGCGCCTTGGGGAAAAATACAAGCTTGGCCGGCGTGACATTCAAAACACAACGAACCATAGCCTAGGACCAATGTTCCTGTTTGAAGGCTCATTAAGCCTTGACAAGCTCAAGGAAACGTGGGACTTCGTGCAATAATCTGACGACGTCCCCTGAATTCAAGCCATCCGATATCTGAGAAGCATAGGTGCACTGAGCACATGCTCCCCAACAGCTGTGAATCCCCAAGTCGGAGCTGAATTCGGAAAAGTAGGGGGATCATTCATCATTTTGACGTGTCAACGCTGGACAAGTGGCTGTTCCCAGCAAGCCGAGGAGAAACCTGGCAGTTGGCAAGTTCCGTCACTTAACTCCGGGCCCTCAACCACGGACTAGTCATATCTAGTCAGAACAGGCCCATTCCAATTATGATGCAGAGCGATGTAAAGCGACCTTGTGACGACTTGCATAATGGAATGTACGAATTGAGAGCAAGTGTTAGAGCAAGTGCTTCTCACGGCATCCACAGGTGACCAGAAGTATCTTAACAGAGGCACAAGGAAACGTGAGCTTCTAGCATCTTCTAGCCTGTACCGCAGGACTGTATCTTTTAAAACACGTCTGTAGGCATTTGCAAATACGCGTCCAGCTTGGATCCACTGCAAAGCAGCTGGCAGCCGTGGCAAACAACAGGAGGAGCCTGCTGGAGAACTCCTAAACTCTTGATATCATGGGAACCCTATGATAATTCGTCCAGGCAACTGCTGCTTCCTCACCAGACGCCTTAGATAATCTGTCCGCTGAAGCTTTCTGACGGTTGTCATTCTCTGCGTTGTTTTTTTTTATGGATATTCCCGTCCTATAAGTAAGTCCTTCATCTACAAAACAGCAAGCCTCATGTGAGCAAGCTCAACGTGATTGAAGGCGTTCAAACTAAGCGGTGGAGGTTTAGCATTTGGACCTTGCGCAGGCTTCACATGTAACAGCAAACAAAACTGAGCCTCTGCGGCATTTCGACTGTAGATGCTCAGGAAGTCAGCCCGGCAAATTTACAAATTGCCTACCCTCAGGCCCTCAGGTTTGCACAAAAAGCTGACATATGTTCTCGGTTTGGATTCTCCCCACTGCACGAAATGAGTTCATAGGAGGACGTCTTTTTGCGGAAGGCTCTTGCAGGTGCAACTGATACCGTAACAGCATTTTTTGTCGGCTTCTTTAACTGCTGGTCGGTGGGTTAAGACTTGAGAACTTCCCAACCCAGCACAAGCATCTTCCCAAACCGCAGTCAAGGTGCTCTGTCATAGTGGTGCTGGTGTAGACTGCCTGCCAGGCTCAGCTGCGCTTTCAAAACTTGGTAGCTCTTTAGGACGCTAGAAGCAGATCCACAGCATCAACTCAATGCAACTTTCCAAATGCCCCGCAGCTCCCCGCAGACGAACCTCGGCGGACTTCACCTTTGCTTTCCCCTGCATCCTGACAGGCTGAAAGACAGTGGGGCATGAGGTCTTCATGCACTCGACCCTACCTCGCGATATGGCGCTGAGACGCTACTCAGGCAGATTTGTGCATTGGAAAGTTGAGCTAGCAACTACTGAGATGCAACTCCGGCTTGCAGGTCTTGACAGCAATGAGCACAACAACTGCCAAGCAGTGACTGTGAGTCCACTGACGATGACACGAAACAAAATGCCCCCAAATGCCCCCAAATGCCCATCCGACACGTCATCTACAATGTCAACAGAGCTTGGCTGCGCAAATGGCGCCGTGCCAGCACAAGCCTGACATTGGGGTAGAGGTCGAACGACCCTTGGCTGATGATGAAGAGCTCGTGCCTGAGCTAGTCGGAAGGACGCACACAGTGGAATTTCAGGGCTCTTTGTTCGAGGAAGCCCTATCTGGCAGTGGCGCCAGGATGCCGCAAAACGAATCTTCTTGCCCCTGAGCGCAAGCCAAGGTTGCTCGAGCAATGCAGTTCTAAGCTTTGAATCTCCCTCCCAAGGTCCGAGCCCGAGCTTGCCCGCTACGGCGAGTTCGTCTTCCACGCGCACTTGAACGCGGCCTCGTCTCTACTTGAGAGACCACATCAGGCTCAGAAGCTCGCGCTTCATGGGCTCAGGATTAGGTTCATTGCTCAATTGCTTAAGGTGTGGTACAGAAAATTACGTTGGACAAGATAAGGTCGAATTACCCTCTTTTGGGCTCCGCAGCTTTGCAACTCGATGCAGGACCCCTGAAGGCGTGTTTCGTTACTAGGAACAATGCACGCGAAACAACATTCGACAGGAAGGGACAAGACAAGCTATGCGTGTATTGCAGGACCGTCCGTCAAAGGCTACCGCAAGTGTCTCGCTTGACCTGATATCCCTAGCTAGCTGATAAATATGTGCTCAAAGTTGAAGCTCTTGCCTTCATGCGCGCTGCAATAACGCTAAAGGAAAGGGTCTTGTACATCTTGTCCAGATGACTGTGCGCCCATTCTTTAAAGTCTTCGTACGCAGCCCGCGAGCCTGCAAGAAGGGTGACTACGTGATGTGAAGGATTGCTTGAGCCGGCACTGTAAGCTCCGCACGAGCCATCGTCGCCTTGATTTGACTTGCCAAGGCTTTGAGTCATCAAGCTATTTCTGGGTCTGTGGATGCTCGCTCACTCTTCCTCTCTATCCTGATCCTCTCAACTAAGCAACATCTCTCTCCCGCTACCTTTACATACATCTCTGCCTCTGCCGCACCCTCCCCATCCTTCTGACTGTCTTTCTTTCGCTCTCTCTCTCTTTTCTTTCTTTCTTTCATTCGGGCTCTGAGCAGACCCAGTTTGGGTCCCCCCGGGCACCTGCCCAGCCCTTGTAGGCTCTGTTGGTGAAATAAATAAACGTTTCACTTACACATGGCAGGTTTCATCATGAGGCTTGAAGGTAGTTGTGACCAGTAAGAGTGCATGATCGAATGCAGCATGAGATGAGGTGCAATGTGGTTAGTGGGTTCTGGCCTCATTTTTTGTAATGAGAAATTACTGGCTGGCACACTGCTCTGGGGTAACTGTGTCCACGACGTAATTGTGCGTGAATTTGGGTTTGCTGTCCCCGTCAGCAAAACTGCGGCCGTCTCACTTTTGTTGGCTTTCTTATTTCGAGGAATTTTTGTGTGGCTGGTTAACGAGTTCATTGGCCAGCACTTGAGCGGAGATTTGCCCAAACAACAAAATTAGTGTGGGGAAGAATTCTAGTAGTGCACAAGGTGCAAGCATGTGACTGCACTAATCTCCAGCAGGCATTGGCTCTTCAGAACCCCTCAGCGCGTCTTTGTGTGAAACATTTTCTGCTCGACGTGCCGCGGCCGTTTTCACTGCAGCAGAAGCTGCATGAGTGCGTTCCAGGCTGTGGTGATGGCGTCTTTGGTTTTCATGGTATGCTGCCCCACGCCTTCGGCATCGAGCCATCCTAGGGGGACTTATCCACCGTTTGCCCAGATGGTGGTGATGTTGTAGCGCTTGCCACTTTGCGTCCATTGTATCACGCTGTGCCTGTTGCAAACTCGATCTGTAGCATGCTTTTGCTAGCCCCTTGTTCCAACATGAGGCGCTTCACCTTTCCCGCAAACCCGGCTCGTCGGCGTTCCGGTAACCAGCACTCATCATGGGCGGTTGGACAGACGACCAAGACGCTAATACACCCTGAGCTTGGCACAAGAAGCATGCAGGAGCCTACAGTTGGACATGGACATGTCCGAAGCATTCACTCCCAATGGCCAACCCAAATACCTATGGCTCAGTTTCTCCCAGACGTCTGTCATCGGCTGTGGTGGTGGATGTGGACCTGGGCGGCAGTCGTTGATGTATTTCTTGGAATGTTTGCTGGTAGACCCGATCCTTGTCTTGTAGGCTTGCCAAGTCAGTGGAGTGCTGTTGCTGGGTGTTCGTGATAGCGGTCAACAAGGTGACTTGCTCCTTCAGTGAATGCTGACTCCACTTGCCTGATCCTGGTCTCCATTGTGCCTACTTTGGCAATCAACGGTTGTATCACATTTTGAAACATTTGCAAGGTCAAAGGTGTCCCCTGTTGGTCTGCGTGACTGGGGCTAGGGCATGGTCTCTTGATGCCTGGATTGTCGCTGTCCACTTCGATGGGGGCTTCTGGCTTAGCCCTCTTCGCCATGGTTGTTGTTTGCCGCAAAGGTGGAGTTGCCAGAGTCACGATCTTGCCCAGGTTGGTGGTTATCTCCCAGCGTGGCCGAAGTGCTGGTAGTTTGTCCAGGGAAAGCGGAGACCTGGGTCAAAGGCTTGTCATGCAGCAACTGACACCGTTGAGCTCCGAACTTGTAGGAGTTGGTGTCCACAGTGACAAAGGCGAAGAAGTGTAGTGCAACAACCTTGCCCTGGTCGGTGATAGCCCCGACCTAAAGGTTGGCCAAAGTAAGGAGAAGTTGCCTCTACAGCCCACTCAGCACGGTCAGGAAAGGGGAGTGACTGGCAGGCTCACGGAGTGTGCTTGAGGGGCTTGATGTGGTAGCGGCTTGAGCCAAAATGGCTACATTTCTCTATTGGTCATGAGGATGTCAATGACATTATGTTCACAGGACAGCTCTCTCTCTTTCTTCTTCTTCGGGTGTTAGAGGACCCTACGGCCCCCCCGGCGCGCAGCGCCGCACCCACGCACAGGTCCGCGTCTGGTCGGGGACTCACTTTCTGTCTCTCTGTCTCTCTTTTTCTTTGTTTCTTTCGTTCAGGCTATGGAGGCGAGATTGCTCTCACCTCCGGGCTTCAATGCCCAGCCCGTGTTGGGCTGACAGGTTAAGTGACCCCTCGTTGTTTCAGAGTGAGGGCTTAATTTCCTGGCCTATATAGGGGACCTAGAACATAATGTCATCTGACTGCGTTGCCCATGCTCCAAAACTGTGTATTGCAAGTCGTATCCTTGCAAGGTGAAAAAGGCTGCCCTTGTAAGCATGTTTGCGTGCACAGATGAAAAGTTTCAAGGAAGGTTATCAGTAAGGGGGGACTACAAATTCCGCTTCGACAAGGACCGTCTAAGCAACTCTCTGGGATTTCCTTGCTCTACAAACAGATGCCTTGTGGCTGGCCTGTGTTGACCACATCACTTGACTGGGGGTAACTGTGCAAAACAACTTGTGGACTGTTGACTAGCTTCCCAGTTACAAGTGGTCTTGGAGCAAAGTGTCGGTTTGCCAGAAGGTGCATGGTAATCACTCAGGGGGTAACTGCGAAAAACAGCTTATGGAGAACTGCACTACGCCCTCTTCTGCACCCTTCCTGGCTCCCGATGTGCAATCTAGGTTCTGCTGCAACTCACTTGCTGCACTCAGCTCCAAAACCCAGGTCTATGGCTTGAACATTTGCAGCTGCCAAGTGTTGTGAGGTTATTTGGGGTTAACAACACCATAGTAAAACATCCTGAACACTTAATAGGGCATCAGAAAGTCAGCCTCTCACTGCACTTGGACTGGTTGCCTCTGTTCGTGGTGCGTGTTAGGACTCGCTGCCAAAAACACTTGATGATGCAAGACTTAGTGAAGTAAAGGATCCAGCCTAAACGCTACTTGGTGTCTTTGCTTGGCAACTTTCCTGCAAAAGAAACTCTTGGATTTATGCCAACTTGTACCTGCTTTGCTATGGCCTATGCTGAAATGTAGTGAGGAGGGATGCAGGTATGGTTGGCTTGCCTTAGAAGCGTGAAACTTGTTGCGCCAAGGTGAGGTTTCCCTCAGTAGGTCTTGTAGCAGCACTCAGGTGTCGTGTCTGCTCCTCGGCTTGCCCTGGCCCTTGTTGTCGGTTGCTTCGCCGTCGGGGGGGTTGCCTCGCTTGCCCTTGCGCGCCTCCTGGTTCAGCTGGCCGTCGTCTTGTGTGTCCACGTCCGGCTGCGTCATCTGCGGCTGTTGCTGGGCTAGCGCTGCTGTGGGTATGCTTTCGGTATGTCGTGGTGAGCGGCTTCGGCGGCGTGTGGTCTGTAGTGTAGGGTGTTGCCCCAGGATCCACCATGGTTGCGGTGTCACTTGCGGCGGTTGGTGTGCTGTTGACTGCATGTGCGATGTTGCTTGCAGGGGGTTTGTTGGGCTTGCTTGGTGTCTGTGGTGTTGCTCTGCGGGGGCTTCGGCGTCTGCAGCAGCCGGTGTTGTGCTGGCTCTGTTTGCACGCAAGCCGAGTACCCACCATGGTTGTTGCATGGAGATGGGTGTTGGTTGCGCTGGTGGTTGGCTCCGCTGCGGTGTTAGTTGTTGTTGCGGCTGCCAAAGTTGTTGATTGGCTGCTGCTGTCTGTTCGGCTGGTTGCTGTTTAGGCTCCACGCTTGCTTTCTCTGCTGGGTTGTCTGAGTGTGGTGTTGGTTGTAGTGGCCATGGCTGTGCGGCTGCCTGACTGTCTTGCTGCGGCCGGCTCTGCTCTTGCTTTTGCGGTGGTGGGTGGAGCTCTTCTTGTGCTTCTGATTCCTGGCTATCGATCATCATTGTGATGTGGCTGCCCTGTCGGCATGACTGCTGTGTGGGCTTGAAGTATTTTGGATGTCAAACTTTGTATTTGTGTGGTTAATGCTTGGGCTATTTGAAAGGACAGCAGTAGCTCTTCTTGGCTTGGTGGAGGTGGCGGTGGCGGTGGCGGCGGCG